ATCAGTAGATTTATCATATTATTATGATTTGCTTTCTTATCTACCAAGCCCTGTATATATAATCTTTTATCAACTGCATTGTTGTACTTTTGGCTATTTTTCCATTTGATTGCTATTAGTTTTATATCTATCATTTTTTTGCTTTTATTACTTTATCGTAATCTATCCTGACAGTTTTATTGAAGGGGAGTATGAACATTCATGTTTTAAATAACTCATTTAATTTTCCACAATAACATGTTCAAATTCTCAGTGTTTTACCTACATCAAGAGGCTAGATGTTAAAATTCAGGCTATATGAAAACAGTAGCAGTGATGTTGATGATTTATCCAAAATAACAAAACTGTATTTATATAACATGTATTCTGCTGACACGAAACACAGAGAAAAATTAGGTAGAAATTTTACTGATATATATGTCTATGATTTCAAAGAGAATGGTTGTATTTCTTGTTTATTTCCAACTTATGTATAGTGTGAATTATTATTGTATCATAAAAAGTAAATCAAATAATCCGCAAAGAGGTAACTATTAATCATTTAGAGGAGAAAGAGAGAGATTTGTGAAATCTTAAACCAGGGGTCTTCAAATTTGACAGCTTTAAGACTTGTGGACTTCAGCTCCCAGAATTCCTCCTCCAGTCATGGAATTCTGGGAGTTGAAGTCCATAAGTCTTAAACTTGGCAAGTTTGAAGACCCTTGTCTTAGACACTAATTTTATTATTGCATATATTTTCATGGATCATATACTCATCATCTGATGAATTGAATAAATATCTATGAGAGAGATTTTATAACTTACAGTTTGGGATGGTTGATGAGATTTGGGAATGCTCTACTTTTACAACAAGGCATTTTTGTCTTCTGAAAAGAGAAAACTATCTGCAACCTCCCTCCCCTCCCGAAAGCAACAACATAAGTAATAATTCATCAATTAGCTTGACTGAAATAAGGCTATCTTTTTTGTAACATTTTTTATTTTTGTTTTTTACATATCTCTTCATGTGAGCAACCTGATTCCAGTTTACAATATTTATACATAATTATACTTACATTTTCAACTGTCTTATTTAATATCACATCAAATTATTATCCACTCCACTAATCTTCAAATAAATTTCCATTTCATATTTTAATTCATTAATTCAATATCAAAATCATTTCCTCGCGTATCTTTGTAAAATTTTTAAAGTTCCCTTTAAAACAGAATTATTCTGTTTTAAATTAAAATGCATCAAGATCATAAATAAAACATATAGAATATAATAATAATAATACTTTATTTGCGGTCACAGACCAAACCACAAGTACAACAAAAGAAGAACATGAGAAAATTAATCATAAACAATTGGTCACCAAAAACTTGACTAAGGGGAATTACAGCATTCTCCTCTGATGGTTACAGCTCTTTAAAAAAAATTGGAAACCTGAGAAGTGATGTATGAGGAGCCATCCCCGAGACAATATAAGAACAAATTACTGTACTAACATTGAGTCTAGAAGGGTCTGTTTCAAGGAGAGACAGTAACTTAGATCTGCCTGCATTATACATAGGGCATGCTCCACAGTTTCAACCTCAGCTCTGTCACAGGGACATAGCCGCTCGTTAATCGGGAGCCTCTTAAATCGCCCATCCAGTAGTGCTGAGGGCAAGACATTAAAGCGAGCTAGGGAGAAAGTTCTTCTATACTTGGGAATGGTTAGAGTGTAAAAATAGGAAGCCATCCTCAGTCCGTACATATAGAATATAGAAAACAAATATATGCCAAATTTTCTTTTATTTTTCTGAGCAGCAGTAGTTTAGTATTATAAATCTTAACTGATTTCTGGGAAATGTTTAGAAACTCTGTTTCTTATTCCTGAAGACTCTTTATTAATATCACTAATAAGAGAAATCAGAAAATAATGTATCCACTCACTGAATTTAACTCAGTCACACACACACACACACACACACACACACATTTTCAGTACATTGTATGTATTCATGTATGTATGATCTATCTAATCACACAAGAAAAAAAAACTTGCTTAATTGGAATCACTTCAAAATTCTTGAAGAAATATGGAGGATTGTGAATTGATTTGTCCTTATATTTCAAGATCTTTTCATCCACAAAGCTATTTTTGTCCCAGGATTTTATTTACAATATAAATTTGTACAACTGATATTAACTACTGAATAAAAACACAGAGAATTGAAAATTAGCTAAATTGGAATGTTAGATATTACCCAGTCAAGATTGTTTTATAAAAGCAAAGTTTAATGTGTAGTTTTATACCATTTAATACTATTTTAAATTTGAAAGGAATTAAATAACTTTATCGGGATAGCTGTTTCCTAGCCAATCAAATTCTTGGTCCGTGTAGACCAGGGGTCTTCAAACTTGACAGCTTTAAGACTTGTGGACTTCAACTCCTAGAATTCCTCCTCCAGTCATGTTAGCTCAGGAATTTTAGGAGTTGAAGTCCACAGATCTTAAATTTGCCAAGTTTGAAGATTCTTGATGTAGGCTATTGCAAACTATCTGCAGGTTTTCAAAATTTCAAGAGAAATACTCACTGAATATTAATCCAGTAAAAGTCTGTGTGACTATAAGTGTAATACTTTTTTTCCTGAACATTCAGAAATTAGGTCAGCTCTGTATTGTCAGGGGTGAACCACACATTTGTCCAGACAAGTTGTCTGGAAAGAATTCCCTCTTCAATCAATTAGAATAAAATGAAGTTAATGTCTACTTTCACAGGAGTCTGTCCATATAAGCTGTGATTAGATACAGAACACACTTTGATTTTTTGAGCAACTGTACTTTAACTTGATGTATTTATCATAATCGTCATATCAGGCAAAAGGTATGAAGTGGAGAAGTAAGATTAGTAAAATCCATGGACTTAAGCTTTGAACAGTAAATATGCTATAGAAGTAATTCAGACCCAACATAACACTACGCTGGTAGTAAGTATCTCGTTGTAGATCAGTTGCTCTCAATATTACACAAGAAGGACAGCAAGAAATGCTCTGGAGAAGTTAAAAGTCAGCTGTCCCAGAGACTTGTCAATGTTCAATTTCAAGCATTATTTATTGAAGTTCAGCAAGGAAATTACAATATAAACCCCACCAGCTAAAACTGTTTTGAAAACATCCCCCTCTGATTGTTTATTATTCTTCAGTATTCTTAGCTGAGAACAGAAATTTACTCATCAATAGGATTCATGAAGATTTCTTGCTTGAAGAGTTCAAAAACCTAAAGTGTAGCCATGCTATGCTGCTTTTAATTCTAAGCAAAAATACTTCATCTTACTTCTGTTGGAATAATGCCTTTAATTTAAAAATATTAATTGTCCTTAACTTTTCAAATGAAAATTTTCTTTCTTTACCAGACCATATTTATCTGCTGACATTACACAATATAAATGAATTATATTATTCTCTTTCTCTCTTTTCTTACCCAAGCAACTTTATGACTAGACAATCCATTCCATTTCCTAGCATCATTAGGTTCTGTAAATTATATTCTGTCTTGTATTTTTCAGAAGACAATTAAAAATATAAAAAGACTGATACAGAGCTCAAAAGAACAATGTTATAGAATTTAGAAGCATTTTTAAAAGGAACATTTTAATGTGCTGAAATTTTGTGATTTCCTAATAGAACTTTTCAGTCAAGCTCTTTATGTTTGCAAAGAGCAACTGGTTGTAAAGTACTGAAATGAAAGTGAAGATCCTAAAAAGTAAAATGAATTAATTGATCTATTATTCTGTTGATAATTCTCCCAACAATTGCATGTGTGAAAATTTTCTGTTAAAACTCTTTTGATTCCAAATACTTACAATGTGCTTTCCCTATGCATGTATGTGTAAATCTCTCTTTGTGCATGTTTTTTTCTCTCTCCCCCCTCCCTCTCTCTCTCCCTGCCTACCCCAAACAATAATCTTTTTCATATGTCAACTGCTTAATTATACCTATTCATTCTTCTGAGCTTTGTTTATGTAAATTTGTAATAACTAGTTTTTAAGTTCTTATGGTCAGTGTTATGAGACTTTAAGCATTCTGAATGAGTAATGGAAAAAAATTATCTTGCTTTTTGTCCAAAAAAATTACCTATGGTAGAGATGTATTTCCTCGGCTTATAAACATGTATTATTACAAAACATTGCACAAATGAATGTTTCCTTGCACATGATGAAATATTCTGAGGTTTTCAAATGGATAGGATAGAGTTGGATAAGATAATAGAGTTTGGGAGCAAGCCTTTGATTTCTCATTTTCATTGGATGTAACAATACTGTTTATTATATGGCAGTATGTAGAAATTGCAGAAAATTATCTGCCAGATGCTTGCTGCGTATATAGTTTTGTCATTGCTATTGGGATTCCTACTTGTATGAAATATGTGTAACATGTAATGCAGTCCAATTTCTCTTCAAAGAAGATGTCATAATAAAACAGTTGATATTTTGAGAAAGTATAGTCTTATGTAAATGAGATCTACAAGTCAGTGACTCCCAGTTCAAATTCTGTATCTAAAATTATCTAAAAGTGCCCATATAGAGATGAAAATGCATTATATGAGTTAAATAGAGATAAAAAATAAAATTTGCATGGGTAAGATACCCCGTTCCCAAATTGTTTTGGAAACATACCTGAATTCCAGAAACTCACACTGTTAAGTCATATTCAAGTCATTTAAGGGGAAATGTGGTCTGAATCATTTTGTGTTACTTTTAACAGCAGTATTTCCTTATAAATTCTGCTATAATTGGTACAAAACTATAGGATATTCTTATATTTGAAAAATAGTTTAAAGTATAGAAACTAGAAGCTAAAAGACTTGTTTCTCACAAAAGAATGCGTCAAGTAAAGGTTTGGGGGTTTTGTTTTTTGTTTTTGCTTAATAGCACATTGTCAGCTGTACATGAGCATTTATATTAATGCATATAGTCAATTTTGTATCTTGTCTTAACCATTCTGATGTGCTGTTTTATATTTTATTCTAGGACCATCAAACCATATTAAGAGCTTGGGCAGTTAAAGATTTTGCTCCCAATTGTCCATTGTACGTTCAGATACTGAAGCCTGAAAATAAGTTTCACATTAAATTTGCAGGTAAGTCTGATAACTTATTGATTCTTGTTGAGATGTAGAATTGGATAATTCTTTCTGTTCTGATCAATGTCATTTAATATTTTCTGCAATAAGAATGGTGTGGGCAACATTCAGGCCAATTGTGGCTCACAAGTGTTAATTTATTCCTCGGCAATCTCAGATTACTCTACTCAGATTCAGTAAAACAAACAAACAAACAAAATCACTGAATCTCATAGTTCATTTTGTTTTGTTTTAATTCAAATTACCATTAAACCCACCCAAATGTACCTTGTTTTGGCTTGCTTTCATTTTTGTACTTTTGCTTTTATCCCTTAAGGCCCTACAAATGGCCTGAAACTGATTATTAGAATCAGTAATTTCTATTAGCTGAAATCCTTTTCTGAGTTTGCGGAGTATACCGCAAAAACAGAATACCTGTCAGAAATAAGGAAGGCCATCAACAGGTGAATGAACCCAGAGGGCGTTGCATTCAAACTCCAGCCAGAATAGGGAGATATCAGTGCAAAGTTAGGCCAGACAGAAGGTGGTTTTTAATCATTTCTAACTCAGAAATTCCAGTGAGACCTCCAAAGAAGCATCTTCTCCTTTCTGCTGCAGGAAGCTTAGATTCATCACAAAAAAATCAACCTGTCAGCTCAGCTGTGGGCTTTGCCTTTTTAGGTTTTTAGAACAAAGTGGCAGGTAACCATTTTCACATTTGTTTGGAAAATGTAGATTAGACAAGTGAGAAGCAGAACTTTGAAGAATTACGTTGCATCCTTAAATGTCATGTGTCCTCATTATATAACTTTTTTTTTTGCATTGGATTTGCATCCCTTACTATCCCTATATATGTCTCTGAGAATTCACAGTTACGAAAGTGATGATTGAGATTGATTGATTGAATTTATATAGCCACCAATCTCACACATGATTCTGGGAAGTGCATGCAATGGTAGAGCATGCAATGAAAAACCCCAAACATTTAAAATAATTAAAAACCCCAAACCAATTAAAATAGGTAAAACCATAACAGTAATAATAATAACAACCAAAACTATAGGAGAGTGAATGTTGAACATAATAAACACTGCAACTATTTAAATGGATTCCACAATTCCATGATGTCCAATGGCAAACCAAGTTTGAATGGGATTCTAAGAAGGGCAGCAGGGTTTGGACCAAACTAACTTTAGATGGAATGATGCAAATACTTGACTTGTTTTTTTTCCCATTCATTTTGTAAGACACATTGTCTTTAGAGCAACAAACAAACCTACACATCAACAAGCCTTCAAACAGGCTCACTTAATACTTGGGAGCAGGAGGAAAGCCAAGTTATTAATGCAGCACAAAAGCGATAATGGTCAGAAAAATCTGGTACTTGGTGTTGCACAGAACAGATAAAGCACAAAAGGACACATTTCCTGGTTCCCATCAAATGGCATTATTTAATCAAGGGGTCTAAAACCTTGCCAACTTTGTCTGAACTTGTGGGACAAGCAGACAGGGAATTCTGCAAATAATTCAGCCCTGTGCCATGAAAGGTTTTATATGGCAACCAGCCCCTTGAATTGCACCCAGAAAAGAATTGACAGTGTAGTAAGCACAGTAGAGTAGTGCTCATTATACTGAGAAAGAGTCTTAACAAGAACATTGGGTCGACCAGAGGTCGAAGAATATAACTGATTATCATCAGTGTATGGATGATATCTGACCCTGTGTTGTTGGATGATCTCACTGGATGTACAACAACGTTTTAAAGATCAGACCACCTGCTCTTGGAGAATGAATTTACAACTGCCTGAACAATGTGAATCACACATTGTTTTTTGGAAAGTCTTGACTGAACAGGAGACTTGTGCCCAAAATAAAACCAAGTTTCTCCAAGAAGAAATAAAGTGATAAATTTGGATCTAGACCATGCCAATTAAAATGCAGATAAGTGCTCACCTAATTAAATAATGTTTTCAGCAAAGCAAGAAAATGCATGTTTGGTAGTGGGGAAAAAGCTAGGCTATAAACAAATGACTTTCCACTTGTGTAGACACATATTTATTTAGTATGAAAACACCTAACTCTATAATACCAAGTTTATGGTTTCATGTAAGCCTTCTGAAGAACTCTACTTTTAATTAACATAGTTATCATACCGATTTTATAATTAATATTACTGGAATATTTAGAAAAAAATAATGGATGAATCATCAATATACTTACAAAATAATTTTGATTTCTCCAAGCATAGTTTGAAAACTATTGTTCTATCTTATTCCATGTAATTTTCTTTTTTCCATTAGAAATCCCTAAATGCTTTTGGTCTGTCCTTGGGTTGACATTTAATTTTCATTTTCTGCACCTGATCTAATCTGTGATGTCTTTTGCATATTGAATAATAAATATTAATGTTCTGTTATTTATTCAAGATAAAAGTGAAGTAGCTTTGTGTGCACCATATAAAGCTGAAAAGTGTTTTCTACCATATTTGTCTCTAAGGAAAGTATTTTGTTGAGCTGAAACTATACTGCATGTATCAGATTGTAGTCTTGCAAGCCATTTTTATGAGCAAATAAAGGGGGAAGTTTGGCTTTTCTCCAAGAACACACGGCTTCAGTTTCATAATAACCTGTGCTCAAAATCTATCAAACACCCACAGTGTTTAATTAAAAGATTTCAAAATGGAATATAAATGAAAGAATATAAATCAATAAAAAGATTGGACATTGGGTTTCTTGTGCTTGTATCTTAGATACCTCTAAACTTCAAGAAAGGTATAATAACTTACAATGGGAAAACCTACAAAAGATATAGTGGCATATATTTTTAGATTTTTCTAGTCAAGAAGACCACTAGAAGACCCAATAACTGAGATGGAAGACCAGGCAATATTACTAACCACTGCTGCTTTATTAACTGTGTTCTACCACCTATCATATGAGCAAGCCCCTGGGATGCAATGGCCAGAGGGGTGATCCAACCCTTTACCTAACTTGAAAGTGGGAAATTAGAATTGACAACTAGCTGGGGAGGATAGCTTTCACAATTACACATTACATAATCATCATTTTTTGATGATGCCCTGCTTTTTTTTTTCTCTAAGAGATCCCTGAGCTTGGCTGTTTCCTTGCAAACATTTCCTCACCCAAACCAGGTAACATCATCAGTGCTAGTAAGGAGTGGGACTTGCTCTCAGTTTATATTTTAATGGCTTGCCCTGTCAATGTTGTTGTTGGTGGTCCTAGCATTTCTTTGATTGAGCTGCTTACTGTTAGCTTGTTTGGCAGTTCTTTGATTTGGGTATTGTTTACTTGATTTTTGATCTGATGTTTATCTTGATCAAGTAAAAGATACAAATATTTCCTTAATTTCTTCTCTAATTAAGCAATATCTTTTGTTGAGAGCCCATAGACTGCAAAGAATACAGAGCTAAAATGAGCTGTGGTTACGAGACTTTTGTAATAGGGATTTAACTTTGAAGGTGGGTGATCAGCCCAGCTTCTCCTAGCCAGGTATTCTGTGGCATAGCAACCAAATAAAAACAGTTTGTGAGGTGAGTATAATCCACTAGGACAACACAAGATACAGCTTTCTGTAACTTAACAGAAAACAGAAAATAAAAACATTGACCTTTTTTTCCTTAACCTAACAAGTAAAATTTATGTCTGAAATATGCTAGCACCAAATAAATATTATCCAACTTGTATATTTTATTGTTTTAAGATTAATGGTTCATTACTTCCAGCTCAAGGAAAAGCCAAATCTGTTTGTCCTCTTGCTCCTGCTTCCCCTCATCCATTATGTTCTCATTTTGGTACAGATTCTGTAGATCCTTCTAGAAACCAGTAATCCCTCTGCATTACAAATTCTCAGCCTGATTCAGCAACTTTATGCAAATGTGCCCTTTAAGATTAAGATTTTTAGAAATGCCATTCCCTCTTAATTTAAATAGCAAAAAATATTACTCAGTCTTCTTCATGATGAGTTTCATTTCATCCAACCAACTTTGGTCAACTGTCATCACATACTTCAAATATAAAATTCTTTCAAGTATTTACCTATTAATTAACCAGGCAGATATGTAATTCAGGTAATGCTTTCCTTTCTTACAGAGAATAATATTTGTGAAAGTTTAAAAATTTATGTAAATAGTTATGGTCTCAAGATTTTTGCCCTCTTATTTTTTTGAAAGATACTTTAAAGCAACCAAATCTATCTCCAGTGGTAAGAAGGTCAATAATTCAGTGTTGTGTTTGGCTCCAAAAACTGAGAAAGACACATAGAATTCTCAAATTATTTCTTTATTGTTTTTTACCTATAGACAGAAACCTTACCAAACTAAAGCAAACTTCTTGCTTCATTAAAGATATACTCTGAAAACATCTAAGGAAGAGCTATCTTTACCCTCTTTCTCCCAACCAATCTATCACAATTCTCTTGGTGGTATCTCTTTCTTCTTTGGAATGTAGTCCCACCCTCCTGGGAATCCCGACTACATTCACCATACATTGTATTGATTCAGCATATTTAAGTCTCCCAAACATTTTTTTTTTCTTGCCGTGATCAGATTCAGAGCCTTTTCCTATGGCAACTGTTAAAAGAAGTAAAATTTCGTTCATAAGATCGGTTTTGCTCTCAATCTTCTCAGATAAGGAAATACACGTATAACTCTCCCATTTTATAGACCCTAAAAACTAAAGCAGAAAGACGTCATACATGACGCCAAGGTATAAAATTATAATGCCTTGCTAGCTGTAGTATAGAATTATTCAATAGGTCTTGCTGGATTCTTGAAGCTGTCTATTCTAAATTTGGCTTAGTAAAATGAGGACCTATTCTCTGCTATGAAAGAGTTAATGCCTTGTGGCTTAGATTCTAGCTGTTTCCCCCTTTACTTGGCATTCTGGATTGCTGGCCAGCTAGTATGTAATATTTTTAGAAGACATCAAAAGACAGGATCCATATACAATTTCCTATAAATAAAGGTGTTACTATAAATTTAATTGCAGTATTATTCTTGTAAACTATTTCACATTCTCACTATAGCAGTGCTTTTAGACAGGGCAGTAAAAGTTATCTTCCACATTAGCAAAAGTGTATAATTCTTCTCTCAGATTTATCTTCTAAACCTATATTTCAATCCCATCCAAGAATCTAAATTCTTAATTCAGTCAGGAAGTTTGTAGGGAAATACTGAAGTGGAAATAAGTGGAAGTTATCTACTCTAGAATGAATAAATCTTTGTGGTTCATGAATTGCACTAAATAAATGATTTATCTTTGTTGTTCATATTATTTTCCTTGTTACATTTTGCCAACATAAATCCATTTTGTTCAAAACTCATGAAATTTCCATTAAAAGCAACTGGATACCTGCAGTAAACTCTTTCACCCTTGTCAATTCTAATAAAATCCTGCATTTTATTATCATATTGATATGCTTACTCAAATGCTACAAAAGGAGCCAAGTCATTCTTTTTGTCGAAAATTGACCAAGCAATGAAAATTCACAGAATAGTTTCAATGCAAGCTGTTTCCAAACTTACCACTCTTAAAATATAAGTTTTTAAATGGTTGTGAAAGTGTCTTTGAGAATGAAACAAAATATGGTCAATACTCCATCCTGTAGTCAGGACATAGTATGGTCATTTCAAGCACTGTTTGGAGTGAGCTGACCTGTTCTAGGTGCCTCTCCATCCCTCCCTCCCTCCACCTCTCTCTCTACCTCCCTCCCTCTCTCTCCTTCTTCCCCCCTCTCTGTCCCATTTCATGAGGAAGTGACTCTGGGTAGCATACAACAAAATGAAACAATATTTAAAACATCTAAGATTCACAAATATTAAGACAATTTTTAAAACTATAAAAACAATTAAACAGGAATAATAGATGGAGGGATATATTAGTAGTAATGTCAGCATCTCACTAGTTCACCCTTCTCCTGGGGTCCCAGGCTTGATGGAATAACCATATTTTGAGGAAGCCTCTGAAACTTAGAGGCAATGAAATGTTACCTTCCTTTTTGTTGTTTCTTTGCTTAAGTTTACCTTTTATTTTTAATATTGCCTTGCCCAATGAAATAGTATTAAGAAAAGAATTACTCTGATTTTGACTACAATTGGTAAAAAGAAGTTTAGGATCGTGGCAAATAACCAGTGACTTTGTAGAATTTACTACTGTCACTGCTTCTTCTATTGCAAGAATTGGTGTATATGTATCTGCTTGCCTACCTGACAATCCACATTTTTCTTTATCCTATTTTGATTCATATATACATTATTTGGGGATTGATTCTTAGTTTCAAAACAGTTGAATTAGGTAGATAATTAGAAAGAGAATGGGAGATTCCTCTTTCTCAGATTTCCTTTAAGCCCATTTAGAGTTTAAAGGGGCATTTATCTTCCCCCTATGCACTCTGGGTTTATTTCACATTCACTGGTTCACACATCATATTGGGGTAAGTCCCTGATTCATGTCATAAAGAGTAGCAACCCAAATGGAGGAGACTGGGTATTTTATGTTGGTACTTCCCCAGTCCCCAGTCCCTCCATTAGATTCTGAGCAGTATCTGATTGATAGTCATAATGGATGGAGAACTCGTGAGACACCTGGATGATTTTCCAGTTTCTGAAGAGCATCTCAGTATGCTCAGTATGATACTAAAAAAAACCACTGGAGGTTTGCATGTCTCTTTATTAGTCACTTATACTTGTGCATTTTAGTGAGAGTTGGCCATCACGTTTTCCTTATATTACACCTTCAACTCTTCTGCTAACTGCCTAACTTCATACACATTTGATGATGTTGCTGGCTACCAATTATCAACCTGGCTGGATCAAATAGTATGCATTGGCTTTGAAACTGCACATCTCATTCAATATAGCAATAGCACTTAAATTATATACTGCCCCTTTATAGCACTTTTTGGGCAGTTTATAATGTCAGCATATTGCCCCCAACAATCTGGCTCATCATTTTACTGACCTCAGAAGGATGGAAGGCTGAGTCAACCTTGAGCCCCATCAGGATCAAACTGCAAGCTGTGAGCATTGTTTGCTGCAATACTGCATTCTAACCACTGCACCACCAGGTCTTCACCATATGCTGCATTTTCAAACAAATCTGAAAACTTCACATAGAAGAGCATGTTGAGGTTTTACACATTCATATGTACATTTAAGCTTAGCAAGATACCTTTTTGTGTTGGTTTGTATCTTCATATAGAAATGTTTCTGGTGTGTGTAAAATGCAAAAAAGGTCATATGTTAGCTTGGTTGTTTTGTTGAATTTTGTATCTTAGCATCCTGTGCAGGTTAGTCAGTAAATTAAAACAAACAAACTGAAATGGTACAAAAACAAAACAAAAAGCAGAAAAGATGAAAATAGTAATAAAACTGTGGAAAGAATTAAACTTCCAGGATGTTTTGTGTGTTTGTGTGTTTAATAGCTTTTGCTTAGCTTTTAAACCTCATCAGACTACTGATTTTTCCTGGGAATATATTCTAGGAGTGGAACATCATTGCTAGGAAGACATTTTACTATAATTTCCATCCTGTACACAAAAATAAGGGCGGTATAATATCACATTGTAGTACCTTTGTTTTCCACACTTTCCTGTTCTTTTTCAACAAATGAACAACAAATGAACTCACAGATCAATTTAGTCTCTAAGATGCAAGCTGGTAATTCATGCCTCAAATAAAAGTTGTTTTTCTCCTCCAACTCTTCCTCCTCCTCCTCTTCTGCAGATCATGTTGTATGTGAAGAGGAATTCAAATATGCAATGTTGGCTTTGAACTGTATTTGCCCAGCTACATCAACACTTATCACTTTATTAGTTCATACTTCAAGAGGACAGTAAGTATAACATTTATCTCATTGGATGGAGTGAATATGTGAAAATGGGTGTTTTTTTTATTATTCCTTGAACAGGAAAGACTGTACATTGATCCTATCCATGACTTAAAAGTGGCCTTTGTCCATTGTCCACTGATTTCTCAATGTTTTGTGCTTTCTGCTCTTGTAATCATAACAAACACAGGTGATTACTGGTAATTACAGGAAACAAAATATAGCACTTTTGGAGGTCAACTGATTAGGAAAGACTAGGTTAATTATTTTCAGAATTTAGAGATTATTTTCTCCTGTGCGCACTTTCCCAGCCTCTAATATTCAATACTTTACCTTGTATTCTTTCTTCTGAGAGATACAGTAGATAGGATAGCTTTTCTCTATTGGCACCCAATGTCGTTTTTGAAATCTTTACTCCATTTCACATGGTTATTATGGAATAAAAGATTCCTAAACTGGCTAGCAATGGAAAAAAGCTGTGTTACATTCACTTAAATAGTATTTAAATTAGCTTTAATTAAATGCATCTATCTATGCATCCAATTAAATATATAATATTAACATTGTCTACTGGCTTTGGTAAAAAATAAACATAATACAAGCTACTTTGTGTTTATTATTTTCTAAATATTCAGAAGGTTTGTAGCTAATCTCATCTTAAAGATACTAAAATCAACATGTGATATCATATGTACCTTAACTATAGTTAAGACCACGAAGAGAGATTTACTCCAGGAAGTAAAGTAAACTGAAGAGAAATTTGCCATATTATATAAATGCTCCCCCACCAAATCTATTAATTGTTCCTGCAAAATAATGTTATTTTTACAAATCTCTAATATCACACTCATTTTCTCAAAAAAAGATTTTTTTCAATCAAAGCAGCAGGTTGTTTTTACTATAATCTGAAAAAGTTGACTGTGTTGGGTATATGGATACACCAACCAGGTTTGGGTTGAATAAATATGTAAACCTAGGATTAAGTGTTTTGTAGCTTTAAGCAAGAAACTGCAATGTCATTGTGGGTGCGGTTGCAGGCAGTAATATAGGTAGGAAGGGAAACGTAATAGCCCCGGCTTCTGGATGCACCTGGTTCTGTTCCTGGTCTGCTGCCTGCTGGAACGTCTATCTGCTTACTTTGGAGGCTACTGTACCAGATACCATTTCAACTGAACACAAAGACTGTTTTCTTGGTGAGCTGAGGATTCAGCGTTGTCTTTGAGAGAAAGGTATCGGGAGGAGAAGATTTACAAGCAGATAAAGACATTGTATTTACTGTTAATGGACTTGATAACTGGATGGATATACTGGATAATGATATATGGACTGAATGACACTTCTTAATCTCTGTGTGAATTAAATAACTATTTTAAAACCACAAACAGTGTTTTTGTCTCCAGTGTGTGTATACTCTTGGGCCCACTCTCTCTCTCATTTGCCTGCCTGGCTTGACTGCTGCTGCATACTCTGCTTGGGGGTTTATCCCCAAACACTAACATTGGTTATGGGCCCAGCAGTGAGCACAGTCTAACTAACCAGGATATAGCAGTGAGAGCTGGTGTGAGATGCACATTACTGTAAATACAAACTGTTTGTTAAATAGTTATTTTTCACAAGAGCAATGGCACAAGTAAATTTGCCAAGTCTGTCCATGATATCCAGACTAGATGGAACAAACTATGTTTCATGGTCAATGAAATGTAGTTTACTTCTACGAAGAGAAGGTTTGTGAGACATAATAACAAACCCACCAGATGTATCAAACTTAAATCCCAATGATGAAGAGGATTATAAACTGATACAGGACTATGAACGAAAGAATGAACAGGCTTTGTGCATCATAGGTCTCACTCTGTCTGACCAACAACTCATTCATATCCGAGGAGTGGAAAATGCTGCAGACTGCTGGGAGAATCTCAAAAGGATTTATGTTCGAGACAGTGTAGGAGCTCATATCAATCTTACACGGAAGCTGTTTAGAACACATCTTGAGAGGAATGGAGACATGTTAACTCATTTAAACTGTATGAAAAGCATTTTTCAAGAATTACAAGAAAAAGAGCTTATTTTTAATGAGTTGCAACAAGTATACATCATACTGTCTTCTTTGGACCGAGGCTATGATGATTTTGTGACTGCATTAGAGGTGTTGCCAAAAGACAGTTTATCAGTAACTGAGATTACCGGCAGGCTATTAGAAGAAGCCAGAAGAAGGTTTGAACGTTACCAGCTGAGAGAAGATAAGCCTAATAAAGAAGAGAAATTATCTTCAAGGCTGGAAAGAAACCAGCTGTGTAAAGTAAAGCACCCGGAAGAAGAGAAGTTATCTTCGACGGCATACACAATTAAAAAGTGTTTTAATTGTGGAGGCAGAGGACATTTGGCAAGGTTCTGCAGAAAAGTAAAAAGCCAGAATGTAAAGAAGCCAAAGAAATCCTTTGAACTGGCCATGTTTGGCAATTGTGATATGAAGAATGATATATGGGTGGTGGACAGTGGTGCATCCCACTGCATCACGAGAGATAAGACAAAGTTTATAAAAATGTCCACAAGCTCTCAACGTATATCACTCGCCAATGGCTGGCACCTCAAGGCCAAGGGTGAAGGTATTGCTTATTGTCCATGTTTAAACCAGAATATAAAAATGTTATATGTACCACAGTTAAAGATGAATTTACTTTCTGTAAGAGTATTAGATAAACTAGGATATGTAGTTACATTTAAGAATAATAAGTGCATACTGGAAAGAGACAACAAAAAGGTAACTGCAGCTTTAAATGGAACATTATATGTCTTACATGACAGTAAGAAAGGGGAGGCACAAACTGTATTTAATAATATCAAGCCTCATGATGAATGTATCCATTTATTGCATAGACGTTTGGGGCATGTGAATTTTAAAATGCTAAAACGTACAGTAGAGTTATCTGAAGGAATAAGGTTAAAACCCTGTGATAAGTATTTGCGTTGTAATGTCTGTTGTGAAGATAAGAGTAAAATAATGCCTGCAAATAGGCTAAATGGTTTCAAAACTAAAGAACCTTTAGAAGTAGTATTTGCAGACATTATAGGTCCAAAGAAACCCAGTATGGGGGGTGCTCGATATATACTGAGCATTATGGACCATTACTCTAGATATGGGTTTTGCTACCTAATGAAAAGCAAAACTGAAACATATCAACACTTCTTCAACTGGCTAAGGTTTGCTGAAAGAAAAACCAAACGGCAAATTATAACCCTGGTGACAGATAATGGCATGGAATTTGTTAATAGCAAATTCCAGAATAGGTTAAAGGCAGCTGGAATAGCTCATAAGACATCTGCACCATACAGACCACAGCACAATGCATTTATTGAAAGGCGAGGCCAAACATTGCAGGCGATGACCCGTACTATGTTAACTGATTCTGGGTTACCTGATTCTTTGTGGGGGGAGGCCACAATGTGTGCTAATCATTTATTAAATAATGTGGTTAACTCAACTACTGGTGAAATACCATTCACCATGTGGCATGGCAGGAAGCCTGATTTGAGTTACCTGCACACATTTGGTGCACCAGCATGGGTGCATATCCCTACACAACTCAGGCGTAAAGGGCAACATAGAGCTAAACAATTATTCTTCGTTGGTTACCAAGCTAACCATAGGGCATATAGATTTTGGGAGAAAGGCACATCTAAGGTGTTATGTAGTGCTAATGCCCAATTTCTAGAGCACGTAGGATGGGATAAGTTAGAGCAGGATAACAATAACGAGGTGATTATTGAATCATATAGAAATCCCATTAAGTATCCCTGTAACTTTAAAAATAATGTAAAGGAAGAAGTACAGGAAGAAGCACAGCCCCTAGAGGAAGAAATAGCTGAGGATGAGGAACAGGTAGTAACTCAACCAAGCCCAGTAATACCCAGAAGGACTACACGTATTTCTAGACCGCCTGATAGATACCAGGCTAATACAGTGTGCCAGGAAAATAGAATCCCAAATACTGTGGATGAGATAAGAAGATATCCTTCTAAAGAGAAAGAAAATTGGTATGCAGCTATCAATAAAGAATTGAAGTCTCTGAAGGATATGAAGGTGTATGAGAACGTGAGATTACCTAGTAATGAAAAACCCATTGGCTGCAGATGGATTTTTAAAATAAAAACAGATAAGGATGGAAACACAATCCATAAGGCAAGGTTAGTAGCCCAAGGCTTTAGACAAAGTGCAAAAGACTATGATGAAGTATTTGCACCTAGTCTGAAAGCAGCAACTTTAAGGGCAGCATTAGTGTGGGTAGCAAGCAAGCAATATATAGTTAACCATTTAGATGTGGAAACTGCTTACTTGCACGCTCCACTAAGACATACTGTTTATATGAAAAGGCCTAATGGATTTAAAGGAGACAATAATAATGATAATGATTGTTGGTTATTAAAAAAGAGCCTTTATGGTCTTAAACAATCGGGCTATGAATGGAACCAGTATATTGTGAAGAAACTGACCAATATAGGGTTTAAAGCTGGTTTAGCCGACCCATGTCTATTTAAGAGAGAAAAGAATGGGAAGATATCATTATTATTGTTGTTTACTGATGATATTGCTCTGATGACTAAAACTAATGATGAAGCAAATGAAATAATAACATCATTAGCCAAGAAAATAAAAATCAAGCAATTAGGGGAGATAAAGAGATATCTAGGATTGAATATACTGAGAACACAGAAAGGTTTTAGGATATCTCAGGAAGATAAGATATCCAAATTGCTAATAGATTATAAGATGGAACTTTGTAAGCCTGCAAAGACTCCAATGAGTCAGGATATTTGCAAAATGGATACTCAAAGTCCCAAATGTGATAAGGCATTATATCAATCTTTGATTGGTAGCTTATCATATATTAGCAATTGGTCAAGGCCAGATATAGTTTTTAGTATTAATCAGCTGGCACGACACAATAATGATCCGCTTCAATGTCATTGGAATGCATTGAAAAGAATCCTAAGATATCTTAAAGGAACATTACACCATGCACTGTATTTAGAACCAAAAGGTGATCTCATATTGAGTGCTTATGCAGATGCTAGTTTTGCAGCAGAAAGAGATACTAGAAAGTCGACTTCAGGAACAGCCATAATGCTGGGTAAGATGTTAATAGGCTGGAAGTCTATAAGGCAACAGCATATAAGTTTGTCTACTATGGAGGCAGAATTCTCCTGTTTATCTTTATTGTGTACTGAGTTAATTATGTACAAACAAATGTTGAAGGATATGGGTATAACTGTAAATTACCCCATAGTTGTACATGAAGATAATCAGGCAGCAATTAAAATGGCCACTAATATTGCAGTTAAAACGAGAAGTAAACATACAGATTTGAGGTATCTTAATGTAAGACAATCTGTACAGAGTAAATTGATACAGCTGGAGTACTGCATGTCGGAGGACAATGTAGCTGATCATTTTACTAAAGCCCAAGGTGCCATTAAGCATCTAGAGAGTTGTGAAAAATATGGGTTTAGAATGTAAAGGCATTACATATTTATATCACCCAAAAGGGGAGAATGTTGGGTATATGGATACACCAACCAGGTTTGGGTTGAATAAATATGTAAACCTAGGATTAAGTGTTTTGTAGCTTTAAGCAAGAAACTGCAATGTCATTGTGGGTGCGGTTGCAGGCAGTAATATAGGTAGGAAGGGAAACGTAATAGCCCCGGCTTCTGGATGCACCTGGTTCTGTTCCTGGTCTGCTGCCTGCTGGAACGTCTATCTGCTTACTTTGGAGGCTACTGTGCCAGATACCATTTCAACTGAACACAAAGACTGTTTTCTTGGTGAGCTGAGGATTCAGCATTGTCTTTGAGAGAAAGGTATCGGGAGGAGAAGATTTACAAGCAGATAAAGACATTGTATTTACTGTTAATGGACTTGATAACTGGATGGATATACTGGATAATGATATATGGACTGAATGACACTTCTTAATCTCTGTGTGAATTAAATAACTATTTTAAAACCACAAACAGTGTTTTTGTCTCCAGTGTGTGTATACTCTTGGGCCCACTCTCTCTCTCATTTGCCTGCCTGGCTTGACTGCTGCTGCATACTCTGCTTGGGGGTTTATCCCCAAACACTAACAGACTGCTGTTCATTGAAATGCCCTAAACCTCTAATTTATACATCTTCGTAAAATCCTATTACTTATACTTTTGTTTCTTAACATTTGAATTCATCCTTCCTCCCTCAATCTCTAATCAAACCTTAAAAAGCTAGATAGCAAGGAACAGCTGTAGCTTTCCATTATAAGAATACAAAAGATGTAGCTAATATATTTCTACCAGCCCTCCAGCTTCTAAAATAAAAGACTCTGTCAAGCCAAAGGTGTGAAGGGTAAAGTTATATAGCAGAGTACTTAATGAAGAACATACAAAAGTTGGAAATAAAAGCTCCAAAAAAGCTAGAAATAAAAAATTGACATTAACCCATAAGGCTGTTTAGCTTCTGTGTGGGAGTTGTGTATACCCCAAGGTGGACACCTTGCCACAATACTGAGCCAGGCAAATATCAAGATGCTAAGAGTGTGCATGTTATTAGCAAGCTGAAAAGCAGCCTTGCTTGCCAGCTGAAAGTGGCAGAGGGAAAAATGGTACAGTAACTTCATTAGCATTACTAAGCTCAGCCAAGTATATGCAGAATTCAGAACATGAAAATCTAGGAATTTTCAATAAGTCACATTGAAAATCTAGCAATTTTTAGTAAATCAGTAAGTCATATTCGTTAACATAAGACTTTATATTAACATAAAAATATTGTTTTGACTGTCATTTAATTACTATTCTGTCTTAGTTTCAAATTGCATTTTATCTGTGTTTATTTGGAATGTAACAAAATAATTTCTGACCCTTTTTCCTATTGTGAACTTTTCAAATAGTAAGTTTATTATTGCAAAATGTTTCAAAGGGCGAAAGGGTCAACTGCAGATGGCAATTAAAAACATGGTCTGTAATGAGGAGAATTTTTTTTCCTAGGCTGTGCTTTCTGTGATATGAGCAGACCAAAACTGAGTGCTTAAATATTGCTGCAGGATGCTATCTTTGCTGTGAGATTGAACATAGTTGGGCAAGAGACTATGGATATTCTCAATTATGCAAGTCATGTCTGTGGAGATTCTCAATCATGTAGGTCAGGAGTGTCAAACTCAAGATGACACATTGTCATGTGATGTATCATAACTTTTTCCCCCTTTCGCTAAACCGGGGGTGGGCATGCTTCTATTCGATTCGATTCTATTCATGTTACATATATCTACCACTTATACGAACAGACTGATGCTAACTGATTGTATATATCTCTTTTTCAGAGAGGGCCAACAGTCACCAGAACAGTGGCAGAAAATGTATGGGAGATGCTCAGGGAATGAAGTATATCACATTAACTTGGAAGAGAGTGTGTTTTTTGCTGAATATGAAGGAAAGAGTTTTACATACGCATCTTTCCATGCCCATAAAAAGTAGGTTTAGTTTCTTATAGTGAAATGTAATCAAGATCCTTTTAGAAATTCCCCTTTTGAATGAAACTTTGACTTTGGGTTCCATTGATTAGAAAGATTTGTTTTTATTGAAGCGGCTAGTATATATTGACATGTAAAAGTAAAAAGCTGAGGCTGCAATATTATTACCATATTCTTTTGCACTAAAGAGTTGGTAATCAATGCTTTTCTTTCTTTTTCCCCTTTACCCTACATTTTCCCCCTTTCCTTCCCCCTTTCCCCAATAATTTCATTTACTTTTTTATTTTATAGCCTGATAAACTTTTGCTCCACTGGGTTTTCATAGTATTGTTTGGCTCAATGTAAGAAGACGAGCCTACAACTGAGGGGATATTGGATTGCCTCTGGATGTAGGCTGTAGAAGTAATCTTGATTAGTTGGGAATCTAAGACTGTTAAGTTGACCTCTTTTCCCAAATTAAACATTAAAATGCAAAAAGAAAGGAAGGAAGGAAGGAAGGAAGGAAGGAAGGAAGGAAGGAAGGAAGGAAGGAAGGAAGGAAGGAAGGAAGGAAGGAAGGAAAGGAGGGAGGGAGGGAGGGAGGGAGGGAGGGAGGGAGGACCAAGCTCGAAGGATAAAAGCCTTGGGTGGATGACTCATCAGTGAAGTATGTTTCATTGGAAGCTAGAATTTTAGTGAAGGGAGGCCTCCATAATCCAGAGATCCTTTCTTTGGAATGTTTTACAAAGTCGCTACATTTTCTAAAAGCAGAATAAAGCACATTGCTCTTGAAATGAATTGTATACAGAGTCTTAAGCAGCTAAAATGGATCTAAAATATTTATTGTCCCTCTTGATTTTATTGTAACATGAGATGCGAAGGAATTGATATAAGCACATATACTGCATGCTGTTCAATTTTTCCTAACTAAGTTTCTTTTTATTTTTGGCATTAGGTTTGGTGTTTGTTTAATCGGTGTTAGGAGGGAAGATAACAAAAATATTTGGCTGAACCCAGGTCCCCGGTATATTATGAGTGCTTCAGACATATGTTTTTATATTAACATCACAAAAGAAGAAAATTCTGCTTTTAAGCAACAAGAGCAGCATCGGAAAAATCACCCAACAAGGTTGTTTTATCATGGTCCTTCTCGGCTGCCAGTGCACAGCATAATTGCTAGTATGGGTAAGCCACACTGTGATGACCCGGGGCGTTGCTCAAAGGCAACACAGTCAGATAATCAATAAGAGTCCCTTTATTATCTCCAACTTTGCCTCCAATGTCCAGGTTACTTTCTGGCTGGAGAAAAACTCTTTCAGGAACAGCCTTTGACTGCAAGAAATTAAGTCCAAAACATGGTCAACACAAGCTGTAACTTAAAGTCCAAACAAGCCAAACTGAAGTAATTAGTGTGGCAGGGCAGGAGCAAGAATTTCAGACTTGAAGGCACAGCAAAACTTACACGGTTGGGAAGACACCAGGAATACAGATAAGCCACAACAACACAGGATAAAGTCACATTTGCTCCCAACAGCCTGCCACACGCAGCCTGCCTTTCTTATCAACTTTGTCTTCCCAGGTGTGGCTAATGAAGAGAATCAAGGCCCTTTCCTCCCCCATAAGTCATGCAACCCACATTGCTCTCTTCTCCATTCCTCCCTGCGTGCCCTAGGATGAAGAGGTGATGGGCCTGGTTCTTTCTCTGAACTCTCTCCTTTGTTCTCTCTCTCCCCTGCTCTGCCCAGTCAAACTTTGCCCTTCCACAGCCAACGGAGCCACACTCCCATTCCCTGTCAGCTGTCTGGCTTCCTCCTCAGATTCAAACTCTGACAGGGGCATGACACACACTAAGTAATGTTGCCTCAGTAAAGGTAATGGTATGTGGCAAGGCTGTCCAAACTTGGCAACTTTAAGACTTGTGGATTTCAGCTCCTAAAATTCTCCAGCCAGCATGAGAGCCAGCAATTCTGGGAGTTCAAATCCTCAAGTCTTAAAGTTGCCAAGTTTGAAGATCCCTGGTATGTGAAAAATACCTTGAGGGAGGGGGAGGGGAGGGGAAGAGAAGCTGCCTAGGGAATGTTAAATAAGAGAGGATAATAGGCAGAAAAAGAGAGTTAGAAAGGAAGTTCTCTAACTTCTCAGGCTGTAAAAGAGACGGTGAGAAATTTGTACCTTCAGTCTTGCAAAATTATGTTAAGGTAACCTTACAATAAAGCAGAATTAGTTCATCTGGTTGTATTTCCTACCTGGTCTACCTGAGAGGGCTGACAGTTTTAGTACTGAAATAAGCTTAAAATACAAATTTTTAGTGTTCTTCAAATAATATACCCAATGAAGTAGAGTTGGGGAGAACAGTAGAAATGGAATACTGAAACTTCCATTTAAATAACTGAAATGGTGCCTGCTTTTCATTCCATCAGCCCAAGTTTCCATGTTACTGAATCAAATATGAAACTGATTTTATTGTTCACTCTCCCATTCTGGGAAATTCCTTCCTGATGAGCAGACACTTTACAGAAAATGAAATCATAATTAAGGGGATTTTTCAGGCTTTGCAGTTACCAGCAAAATGAAGATGTCAGCACATTGTCTATATTGCGGTAGGTTATTTAGCAAAGGATGGAGACAGAAGCAGTGAATAATCCTGTCAAAGGACACGTTTATTTGTATCCTTTTCCTTACTCATGGAAGATTTCTCTGAACAAGGATTAACTTGAAATATAACATAAATAAAATAGAGTTTACTTTTTCTCTTCTGGAATTACAGTCTCTCAGTAATAAACAGTCTTCTGTTACTTAAGCCACTCCCTGAGCTAAGGCATTTAACAATAACATATTGTCTCAAGGGAAAGTACTTAAGGGTAAGAGTGATAATCTTAACGTTGTTAATAATAATGTTGTTAAGGGATTAGGTTCAGTTACACATTTCTTGTGTAAGACTTCATTCTATTGTTGGCCTATCTAATAGCCTGGTCAGTGAGATATTCCACTGACTTCACCCAGCATCAGTGTTTTTACTCATCCATCTCCATCTTGGTTTTTCCTTGCTTCTCTTCTTGGATGATTGTATGCTTGCTTCTTCCAGCAAGCTCTGTTTCTGGGAATTCTCCAGTTTATTCTTCTGTTTGTTGTCTCCCATACTCAGTCCTTCTTGGCTCTGGTGGTAGCTGCTCCCCTGACTGATCCAAGAAGTTTTTGTTGCTGCTGTGTCAGTCTTTATGTGATGACCATTCAAGTGAACTGAGAATGGGGGTCATAAAAGATAAAAAGAGGATGGAATTTGCAAACAAGCAGAAGGAACAAATGTTGTCAGTGGCAGGGTCCCAACAATGCCACCCCCTCCCTTCCAATATTGCTTGCCCACAGCCAATAATCTCCAGTCTCAGATGGTGCACTTCAGATAGCTCCAGCCCACCTGCAAGGCCTTGGAGACTCACTAAACTGGCAGCTGAGTATATCAGCAACTTCAAGGAAAAATAAAAGTCCTATACCTTGATCACCATATACTCTTCTTCTCATACATTTGATGGACTATGATGACTTCAAATATTTATTTAGGAATTTTTAAAATATTTTCAATACTAGTGCTATTAATAATAGGCAGCTTAGGTGCAATCCCAAAGCAACTGGAACCCTATTTGAACACCATCGATTGACCAAATCACTATCAGTCAATTGCAATAAAACAGTATTGCTTAGAAAAAGCTTACATCATACTGAAAATAGAATAACGGAGTTGGAAGGGACCTTGAAGGTCTTCTAGTCTAACCCTCTGCTTGAGCAGGAGACCCTGTAACATTCTGGACAAATATTCTTTTATTAAGAACTTACAGTGTTGGAGCACCCACAACTTTTGAAGGCAAGCCATTCCACTGATTAATTGTTTTTACTCTCAGGAAATTTTTCCTTAATTCTAAGTTGGATCAATAGTAGTGCTATTAATAATAGGCAGCTTAGGTGCAATCTGAATTCATGTACCTGTCTTCCTTTTCCTTCCATTACCTATTTTCTTTCCTAGGCTCTTTGAACCTATCCATATGTCTCTTCTGCTCAGCAAAGGGTTTTAAAAAAAACAATAACAGTTTATCTACAGGGAAGCAGCTGTAAATAGATTTTTTTTCCTGCCTATTAAAATGGCTCTTTTTTTGGAGAGCCATATGCTTAGCAATAGTTGGTCTGCCACAACGTTCCACCCCGCCCGCATATCATACCACTCAGTCTAAACCACAAGTATTGACTAGTTTTTGCTGCTATACTTGTTATAGTGTGGAAGGAGGAAAAACTCAGAAAGAACCCAATCACAAGCAACAAATCTAAGGTCCAATCACATTGTTTAAAAGAAGGTATATTTTTGTTCTGAATTTGAAACAAAACACTCAGATGGGTTTTTTGCTTCCAGCTCTAAATATTCAAAATAAACTTTGCATCCAGGTTTGTTAGCATTTAAAATCTTGTACACTCCTCCTTGATAGGCTTTTTAATTTTCATGGTCACATCTCAATCAAACAGAATAGAGCTGGAAGGGACCTTGGATGAAGCCCCTACAACTTCTGAAAACAAGCTGTTCTACTGGTTAATCCTCACTGTTAGGAAGTTTCTGGTTAATACCAGGTTGTTTCTCTTCTTTATTAGTTTCCATCCATTGTTTCTTGTCTTGCCTTCTGGACCTTTGGAAAATAAGTTGACCAGAGGTGATATTCAGCAGGTTCTGACCAGTTCTGGAGAACCGGTAGCAGAAATTTTGAGTAGTTCGGAGAACCAGTAACGGAAATTTTGAGTAGTTTGGAATATCACCTCTGACTGGCCCCGCCCCATCTATTCTCTGCCTCCCAAGTCCCAGCTGATCGGCTGGGTTTTCTTTTGTTGCCCTGCACAGGAGAAGGAAGCTGGAAAGCAGGTTAGTGGGGTGGGAATGGAGATTTTACAGTATCCTTCCCGTGCCACGCCCACCAAGCCATGTCACACCCACCAAGCCATGCCCAGAGAACCAGTAGTAACAATTTTTGAATCCCACCACTGAAGTTGACCCCTTATTCTTTATGGCAGACCCACATGTCACCCTTAGTCCTTCTGGCCATACCCAATTCCTGCAACTGTTCTTCACATGTTTTTGTCTCCAGGCCTTTAATCATCTTAGTTGCTGTTCTTTGACCTTTTCCAAAGTCTCAGCATCTTTTTTGTAATGTGGTAATCAAAAACTGGATGCAGTATTTATAAAACGGTACAAATACTTCTCATCACAAATTTGATTTTAAGCCTCTGTTGATACAACCAAGGATTGTATAAGCTTTTTTGGCTGCCGCCGCCCACTGCTGGCTCATGTATAAATGATAGTACACTAGGACTCCAAGGTCCCTTTCACAGTTACTGTTTTTGAGCCAGGTTTCGCCTATTCTGTACTTATGCCTTTGGTTTTTCCTGGCTAGGTTAAAACCTTGCTTTTCTCCACATTAAACTACATGTTGTTGGATAGGGGCCATTGTTCAAAAGTCTGTCAAGGTCTTTTTGGATCCCAAGCTTTTTTTTCTGGGGTATTGGCTATTCCTGCCAGCTTAGTGTCATCTGCAAATTTGATGAGTTTCCCCTTCTACTCCCTCATCTAAGTCATTTATGAAGAGATGGAAGAGTACGTCATTTACAGTATGCTGATATGGCTCTCCCTCCTCCCTTCAAATCCTAAATCATTTTCATTTTCGTCTGTTGTCTTCTGCCCCCAGGTACCGTTGCTATAGATTTGCAGGATACAGGCTGTAGATCTCCAAACGCAGCTACATTAACTCTTCCTTCAGAAGCACCTAAAACGGGCAGAAGGCCAAGCATTGCACCTGTTCTGGAGGTTGCAGACACTTCGGCACTTCATAGCTGTGATATCTTAAATGATCAATCCGAAGATGAAGCCACACCCTCTGATGAAGAAGTGTTGAATGGTCTGGAGTATGTAAAGTGCACTTTAAGTGAATATGTTTTTAAACACAACAATGCAGAAAAGGGAAATTAGTAGCTTGTTGCAGAGTTCATTTGAGACATCTCCAGATAGCTCTTGTCATGGTACCGAGTAGTGGTCCCAATCAATTCAAGATTTTGAGACTGTAGCTTTCTCAATAATCCATTTTATTGGGTACATCATATCGGCACATTCACATGTAAATCCAACTCTAAATATTTCCCAGTATAATAAAAGATATAGGTATCGCCCACCCACCCCTAGTGTCACTGGTTATGTTGACCAACCAGATAGATGGCAGACTACTCAGCTACTCCCTCCAGCTGTTATGAGTTCTCATTGAGATAACCTTGATTTGCACAGATTTTATTGCTGTTATGTCTAGCACCTGGGAGGAAATTATCCCACCCCCATAGTTCCTCCCTCCGCCCATATGCATGGCAACTTAGAAACAAAGTAAAAAGAATACGGCTTCAGCTAAAGTCGTTTTGAGAGGTGATAGCCCCACAATATATACAAGTAGTCTCATTTAGCAACCACAATCAGGATTAGCTGTTCAGTTGTTAAATGAAGGGGTCCCTAGTGAAACCGCGACTGTGCTTGTGATCTTAATTCAGTTTTTGCTTGCTTTACACTCCTGCAATGACCACAAATTTACTTTTTCATCATTGCCATAACTCTGAACAATTGCTAAACAAGGACTGCTTGTGCTTGGGTTAAAGTAGGCCTACGCAATCCGTAATGGGGAATGGACCACATTGATGAATTAAAATTCCCCTCATCAGCCACAACCTGACACAGAAACCAGCTGTTTTCTGACTAGCAGAGCAGTGGCAACATCAGAGTGGCCACAGTGAATGTATTAATTAAAAAAAAAAACAAACACTGATGCCATATGTTGTGCAGACATAGTCTGAAGGGTCTGATAGTAACAAGATGAAATTAGGAAACAATGAGAAACAGCAGCAAAGCCATATAATACTTTTATAGTTCACAATAAAGTAAAAATAAAGTTTTCCCTTGTCCAGACATATCTGACTCTAAGGGACAATACTCATCTTTGTTTCTTAGCTGAGAGACCTGGCATTGGATGAAGATCCTTTCCATGGTCATGTGGCCAGCATGACTATATGCTGAGGTGCACAGAATTCTGTTACCTTCCCACCAAAAGTGGTATCTATTTATCTACTCACCTTTGCAGGCTTTTGAACTGCTAGGTGGGCAGAAGCTGGGGCAAGTAATAGGTGCTCACCCTGTCGTGCAGTGCTTGGGTCTCAAACCAGATGGACAGTTTTCTAGCTGACAAGCTCAGCATGACAAGCAAGCTGTGCCCTTGTGCCCCTTTTTACAATCAGTTTACAGTATAAAATGATTCAGTTTTTACAGTATATAACTGAAATTAAAATATAAAATGAAAAGACACTCAAATTCCATTCAGTTACATAGTACTCCATGACAATGACCAAGCACGGGTGCAATTGTATTGGAATCAGGGTAACTCTTATGCTGGTGTAAATACTGATTAAATAGTTTTGGTTTGACAAAGGATTCAGCAAAACACCTCTAGAAATGTTGTTATTGGTGATCGTTTTCCAAGGCTCCTTTTACAGCCTCCCTTGGTGCTTGCAAAAGCAGAAGGGACTTCTGTGCATGTGCAAAAGATGCTGCTGTGTGCAGAAGCTTTTGCAAGTTCGGAGTGAGCCTATGAGGTGATACCACACAACCCACAGGGAGACACACTAGGTTGCTTAAACCAGACCCTCCCACTTGATTTCAACGCTGTGACCTTTGCAACCCAAAGTGTCTCAATCAAAGCAAAATAAGGCCACCTTAGGCGTTATATTATTATATATTTTTATTTATGTATCAGTTTTTTATGGCCACCCTTCTCGATAAAAGTGATTCTGGGTGGCGTACAATAAAGCCACAATTAAACCAGTTAAACCAGACATCCTCAATCCCCAGTCCATGGACCACCACTGGTCCACGGCATGGCAGCAACTGGGCTGCACAAACAAGCAGAGCTCCATCCATGGGATGCAGACAGCATGCAAAACTACACCCCCTCCAGGAAAACCTCCATGGAACCAGTCCCTGATGCCCAAAAAGTTGGGGGCCACTGACTTAAACAATAAGCATGGCTAAAAGCTAAATAAATAATCCTAGATCACACAATCGGAGATGTTATTAATACAGCCACTTATTTAACTTATATAACTAGTAAGTGAACCAACCCTCATATTTGAGAATAGTGAGACTTTCTAGGAGTTACAGCAAAAAAGTACAGTAAATACTCCAAAAAGTAGCAAGTTTATTGCACACAGACAAATACACACCATCCCTATTTGAGTCATGGCTGAACATTAGAAAGTTCAAGAGGAGAGAGATTTCACACCGAGAAACAACTGGCTGTTTAGAGAGGCATTATGCTGCTTTAGAGTTACAGGATTTAGTGTTAAGTATCTCTCAAGTGTCTGCTTAAAAAAGAGAAGTCGCTGTACATGTCAGACAAAAGAAGCAAAAGGAACGGGTGTGCATATGCTGTTGAATGCAAAAAATGAGATCAGACTCTTCTTTCTTCTAGGTATTTGAAAGGCTATCCCCCTTATTCACCTTACATAGGAAGTTCTCCTACTTTCTGCCATTTGCTCCATGAAAAAGTGCCATTTTGCTGCCTGAGATTAGATAAGGTATGTAGATACAATACTGCTGTGCATATATTTGTTTTTAAGAAGAAAAGCACTTAAACCACATTTTTGAATGCAAAATTAATACTGAGTCACTTCAAGTTGTGGTTTTGTTCACCATTCTATTGGATAAATCAACCGTATGGCTGTAAAAACACTGTGGTCATATTAAATTTAAGAGAATAATCCACCCACATCCTAAAGTATTATTCCTGCTGAAATGGAATTTCATTTTAAAACTTGGGCTGGGTTCCAGTTTCAGTGACTGTTGTGAATAGAATTGCAACGTCAAGTGCTCAAATTCTAGCTTTGTTTTTTTTAAAAAAGCTTTTGTATGCTTATATACAGCTAAGCATAGCCCAATTTTATTTCAGCATGAGGCGATGCAGGTTGAGAAAGGAAAATATTTTCTCATCCATGGTTCTCTTGTTTGGTACAGATAGTTCTCAACTTACAACCATTCAGTCAGTGAATTTTCAAAATTAGCAATGGTGCTGAAAAAAATGGACTTACCACTGGTCTGCAAAGTTATGGCTGTTACAGTGCCAGTATTGCATTGTATCATGATCAAAATATGTGCACTTGGCAGCCCACCTAACTTAAAACTGCAGGGCACTTCAACTCTCCCCTATCTATGTCCTTTCATGCACCCTGAATAAGGGCAATCCTTGGGGGAGTACTGAGGCTGAAATTCAAGTAAAACCCCTGAGCAGTCTCTATTTTAGTCCTAATGCTACTGACAAATGTCTCCTCAAGCCTCATACTGTGGTCAGCTACTACATTGCAAATCCTCCCATCCTGTACTTCATATAACCTGCCTCACACATCATCTTCCTGCTGCTGAGGAGGACGTGCCTGGCCTGACTTTATGAAAGGCTACTGAGGCTTCCAGAGACAGTTCAATTTTTTTGTAGCCCCAGAACTGGGGCATACCAAGAAGCCTCTGGGTCACAGTCTATTCTTGCACTTGTGCCAGACTAAAGCATCCCCATAACACAGGTACACCCTGTGCTGGGCCTCCCAGGGACTCTGCCAGCCCATTATGGCAGACCTGCACTTCTTACCTGTGACTTTCACTTCTTCCTGCTTAAGGACTTGTGGGTCTGTAATCATGGCAATAAATAGGATTTCTGGGATTGTTGTCACCAAACAATGTGGTTATCTAACATCATGATTTAGATCACATCACTTAACAACAGAAATTCCAGTCCCAGTTATGGTTGTAAATCAAGGATTACCTGTATGCCACATTATATAAGCTTCCTATCCATTTCCAATCCCACCAGGGAAATATAAAACCAAATCTTCCATGTTTTTCAGGGAGGCTTATTATAACGAGTTTTGCCAATATAGCATGGAATTAGTGTATAGTACACACCAGTATTTAAAATGTGAGGCTTTCCTTAAAGATGTAGCTAGTGAAGATTTAAATATATCTTAAATAATTAAAAGCTGGACATAAAATGCTACAAATACTTTCAATCTACTGTAGGTATACTTTGAGGCATACCTATACTATGAGGTATACTTTAAAAACATTTTCTGAGAAGCAAGAAAATTTTACAACAAACAGATGATAGCTATTGTACTATTATTTTTTCCTGTGATTTTTCTGGGGTCTGTTTTAATTAATTGATTTTAGGGATGCCAGCATAATTACTATGAAGATGCCAAAGCTTATGGATTCAAAAACAGAATCATTATAGTTGCTGCGGAGACTGCAGGAAATGGACTCTACAACTTTATTGTACCTCTCAGGGCTTATTACAGACCAAAGAAAGAACTCAATCCAATTGTGTTGCTGCTGGATAATCCGTAAGTAGAATGTTTGCTCTTTTATCTCAGAGGTACATATTTAGATTTGGAACTAGAACTTTGTATGTATTATGTATCATTGATAGCAAATTTAATAAACATGTTTTAATTCAGAAGGATTTCATCACCAATACTTGGAGACAGTCATTTATAGGAGAAATATCTTTTTTTTTTTATGCATCAAAGATAGAAATACTCAGTATTTGAAATACCGAGATATAATTTTGCTACAGATAAATGACTTTGGATGCCATAGTATCAGGCAAAAAGAATCAGGATCATTCATGTAGGTTGCAATATAAACAATATTGAAGGTTATACACAAGAATCTGGTCAGCTAATGGTCAGTACTAAATTAGTGCTATATAAAGTCAATGAAATTCAGGAGTAGGGATGAGACTTAAGACTCTGAGAAGCTGAACTTAAGAGTCTGAGAGGCTAAACTGATGACACATTTTGCTCTATCCCCAGTTCCACCTCCTTTTCTCCTATACATACCATGTTTTCCTGAAAAATATGACCTACCCCAAAAGTAAGCTGTAGCTTGATTTTTACACTTGCTCCCAATATAAGCCCTACCCCCCAAAATAAGCCCTAGTTAAGACCTGCCCAATCCAGGTGGGGCAAGGTGCACGGATAAAAATGAACCTAGAATGGGGATGGGGGGGGTGGTGGAACTGCCCTACTTACCAGGCTTTGCACACCCTGACACCTACCTTGCCTTGCCAGCCCACTTCTGTGGCCGCTTGTCAGTGCTTGCATGCTTCGCCCCCCCCCGCCTCTATTTTGCCATCATCTGATATGGAACTCTGTTGCCAGCTGCAGAGACCTTTCCTGAAGGCCTCTGATGGTGACATGAGGCCGAGGGTGCCATACACATCAGTCCAGAGCCTATTTCTCAGCTGCAGAGACCTTTTCTGCAGGCCTCTGACAGCAAAACAGAGCCTGGGGGCAACGTGCGCAAACCAGCAGCGGGCTCCTGCTAGGTGGGGCTGTTGATGCTGCTGCCACAAAGTGAGTCAGTGAAAGACACAACACACACACTGAAGATAAGACCCCCCCCAAAAGACCGGGTCTTATTTTGGGGGAAATTTGTTTAGGTTAAGTAAGTTAAACAAAGTTTTCATATTATATTAGTACTATCCTCATCATTCTACCACTACTGCTATTTTACTTTAGTTGGAGGGATTTTGCCTCAATTATTTAAGTAACTTTCCAGGCTATGGGCTGTATGTACTTGCCTATTGGTATTGGAAATAAGTTGTATTGAAGATGATTTGTAAACAGCAAAAGATCATGATGCCATTTTCTTGAAAAAGAAATCTAATTTTGACATCACTGTAGCATGAAATCATAAAGAAAATCTGTAAAACTTTATCTGAATTGTTGGATCTTTAAAATATTCCAGTCAAGATTTTAAAAAATCTTTCTCTGCTACTCATCCATTCTTGGCAGACATCATGTCAATTTGTTTTTTTAAAAAATTTTGGACCAATAAACATATATTAACAATATGTCTCTAGTGAAAGTTATATCTGAACACTTCAAATGTGCCCAGTTGCTTCACATTCTGGCAATTTAAGCACCCAGAGAAAGTACAGGGTTAGGTTTTTATTTCTTATTCCAGAGGTGCAACAACCACAGCATATCACCATCTCTTTTGAAGTTCCTAGAGTACTTATTGCCATGTTTTCAGTTCTTGCAATATACTTACCACATCCTTTAAAATCCCTGAAATGTCAAATAATGGATCCCTATTTTTGAAACGTAGCCCTTGCTGTGTACAAAACCTGGTATGAACCTGAATGTTGCTTTATGCCATATAATGCAGAAAAGCCAACTCCAGATAGTTCTCGACTTATGACCAAAATTGGGAATGGAATTTCCACCATAAGTTGTCATTTTAAATTGTAAATTGAGTCATCAATTATTTTACCATAATTTTTATCACGGTTGTAAATCCAGTGATGCAATTGTAAGTGCGAGTCCAGCCTTACCAATGGTAAGTTTTGCCAGAAACCAGCAAAAATCATAACAAATTGCAATCATGTGACCCCTGAATGCCACAACCTGTCCTAAATGGGGAGCCAATGTCAAGCACCCAAACTGCAAACACATGATCATAAATTTAAGTATATATTCTAACTGACTTTCAGAGGCCATCAATTCAAACTGTTGTTTAAGCAAACTGTGATTAGTCAAGGACTTCCCATATATAATCATTGGTATCTTGAATCTATCAACTCTTGTAGATGTTTCGGATCTCTCTTGTATAGGAGTTCGTTCTCTCTCTCTCTCTCTCTCTCTCTCTCTCTCCCTCCCTCCCTCCCTCCCTGTTTAATATTATATCTAAGTTTAACTGGAAATCTCATTGTACACTGATATTTTTAAGGTAGAAGTATAGGGCCCTCTAGTGTTTAAGTGAAATTTTAAGGCTCATATTTTAAATACTTTACATGAACTTTGATATATGATATGATTTCTCTATTATAGTTTTAATTGCATTTCATCATAGTTCCTTATGGCTTTTAGCTGTATTTCCTTTTTTTCCTTTTTGGAGGAAATTTATCAACACTCCCAGCACCAATTATTATGAGATCCAACATCCAGCATAACAGATATTTTAGGGATCATTTTTTATGTTTGTAATAAATACAGTTTACATGTAAGCTCCTTACTCATCCCCATAAGCATAAGAAATATCTATTTGTGTGCCTCACTATTGCTTAAATGCCATGGAATTGGTACCATTGCATTCAGCTCTTTTTGTACTCACCATACTACAATGTATTTTGAAACAGGAAATACTTGTAAACTGTTATTTAAACTGTAAAGTAAACTTAATACAATTTTTTAAAGAAAACATCCCTAATAACTCCCCATGCCAAGTTGGGAGATAATGAGAAATCCAGTCGAGAAAACATGCATAATATCTATTAAGCACAATAGACATCGCCTTCTTTGCCATAACCAAATTTGTATTTTTCAACCAGCTATACAATACCAAATGTAGCTTTTATTTGCATACGTACATTGTTCCAAATTGAAAACCAACTCCAAATGACTTTGGATATCTCACAACCATCAAACAAAGTTATTCCAGGTAGTCCTCTACTTATGAACACAATTGAGCCCAACATTTCTGTTGCTAAGCAGAAGATGATACACCGGGTGGACTTTGTTAAGTGAATGTTGCCCCATTTTACAAGCCTTCTTGCCACTGTTGTTAAGTGACTAACTGCAGTTGTTAAGTTAGTAACACGGTTGTTAAGTAAATCTGGCTTCCCCATTGACTTTGCTTATAAGAAGGCAATAAAAAGCTGATCACATGACCTCAGGACACTTGCAACCGTCATGGATATGAATCAGTTACCAAGCAACCGAATTTTAATCGCGTGACCCTGGAGATGCTGCAACGGTCGTAAGTGTGAAAAATGGTCACAAGTAAATGGTCACAAGTAAGTGTGAAAAATGGTCACAAATAAACAAACTGTTATAATCAGGGACTTCCTGTACATCAAAATCAATAAAAGATGGCAAGTGTGACAGACCAGATGAAATGAAAGATGAGGTCACACCCTCCCTCTCCAAGGGCAATAGCAGAATGGGGGGCCATCTTGATCTCGGGGAGCACCTCATTCCAGAACACCGGCACAGCTACAAGGAAGGCAGGCTTGAAGGGTCCTGATAGAAGGAATTAATGGAAGGAACCCAGAGGATGCCTATCCTGCAAGGCCAAAGTAGTCTGTCTGCTTACTTAAGGCAGAAATGTGCACATTGAATTGAATTCTTTATTGTCATTGTACGTATATACACAGTATACATACAACGAAATTCACATAACACCCAGAAACCAGACTCAATATGCGCGCACACATGACAATCCCCAAACACATCCCCACCCACCAAAATTCTCCGCCTCCTAAAATACACAAGCATCCACACAACAGACCAAGTAATACTGTCCAACAGCTCATTGATGGTGGTCCTTAAGTTCATTGTTAAGTGCAATTATAGCTCTGGGATAAAAACTATTCAGAAAACATGTGATCCGAGTTTTAATTGTTCTGTATCTTCTGCCAGAAGGCAACAGTTCATAAAGATTGTAAGCAGGATGGGAAGAGTCTCTGAGAATGTTGTGCAACTTCCTCAAACTGTGAGATGCGAAGATGTCATCCAGGGCTGATAGCTGGAGCCCAATGATATTTTGGGCAGTTTTAATGATTCTCTGTAGAGCTTTTTTGTCCGCTGCAGAGATGCTCCAATACCACACAAGAATGCCGTATGTCAGGACACTGTCAATGGTGCTGCAGTAGTAGGACAGAAGTAGATACTGAGATTTATCTTCCCGAGCATTCTCAGGAAGTTCAGCCTCTTCTGTGCCTTCTTCACAAGCATGCTAGCATTCATAGTCCATGAGAGATCCTCCAAGATATAAGTGCCCAGAAATTTAAAACTACCAACCTTCTCCACCTCCTGTATATCTCTCTTCCTCCTGAAGTCATAACTTCGTTAGAGAAATTAGTTAAATAATCACCAAATATATGAAGGGATTTTTCACACACACCAAAAAAATGGTTCTCAATAGGTAAGAATGTCTCTAAAAATTTATCTGTTAGATGAAATGTGTATGAGAAATCAAGCAGAGTTTTACACACTGTAACGTTTTTCAAACTAATGAAGAAACTGAAAAGGCAAACGTGGTTGTTGAAATGAATCGTTAGCAATATTAGAGGATTTTTTCCACTTTTTCAATTAAACTGTATTTAACATAATTATTACTAAATAATTTCCAGTACCCACACAATTTTTGTGATACTATCTTTCACTTTGTGACCCATCTGCTATTTAGGCCAGATATGCATTTTCTGGATGCAATCTGTTGGTTTCCAATGGTTTACTACATGGTGGGCTCTATTGACAAGTAGGTAAAATGATTCTTGGTGCACTAAATATTGTAACGTATTGTAGTGTGCAAGTACCATGTAGTTGCATGCTTTGATGTAGTGCTAGTGTTTTGAAGTTGTATAGTTGCATGCTTACTTGTTCAACATACTGAACCTTTTATATTGCTTATTAAGTTTTCCTTTTTTAAAAAAGGCCTCTAGTTTTATACATGGTAATCTACAGTTGAATTGATATGCAATTCAGTCTTCATCCATTTATTCGTTACATTTGTATATAGTAACTCTATGTTTGATAGTATATGTACACAGTAGGCACAATGGATCTGCTGAGATTACATCAGCTCTCCATAAATGATTGAGTTAAGTAGACACTGGAGAACTATGTCTATGGAGATTTTCAATCATCCAAGCCATGGTTGTCCCAAAGTTGCTCTTCCATAAAACCGGTTTTCTTTGTTTTTTTCTTTGTTTCTTTTTCCCTTCAAGAAAAAAAAACCCAACCAAAGTCAAGTTGCCTTTTGGAAAAGCACCTTTGGGACCGGAAAACCACCTTTCTAAAAAACATTAATTTGCACAAGAATTGGGCTGGGCTAATTCAATATTTTTCCACTTTCATCCACTTCTGAATTATTTCTAAAACCTGGTGATCCATTGTTTGGTTGTGTAGTAAGGAATTCTCATCTCCAAGTCCTTATGCAAGGGTTGGGGTTAATTGATAAACCCTGTTTGTAAAATACTGTCTACTATTGACCTCACCCCTTTCCTAAGAGGTCTCTAGGGGGCGTGCATAAGCGCACCAACGTGCCTACCGTCCCTGTCCTATTGTTTCTTTTATTTTTCTTTTATTTTTCTTATATGTACCCATTTCATGTATTCAAAACTATGTATACACTTATACTTATTATCTTGTAAACAATTGACAAATCAAATAAATAAATAAATAAATAAAATAAAATGCATATTGGCTGTTCTCCTTGTGCATTAGTACAGTGCCCCCGCCCCACTTTATGGGCACCAGGGACCGGTTCCATGTGGAGAGGTTTTCTTCTGTGGACTGAAGGGGGTATGGTTTTGCATGCTGCCTGTATCCTGCAGATGGGGCTTTGCTTGTTTGTATGGACCGGTTCCTGGCATGCCAGTCCATGGACCAGGGGTTGGGGATCCCTGCATTAGGATATCCCCACCTCTACTCTGGTCTACCCAAACTGGAATTGCAGTTGCTACAAACAGTTAGAGCCCCAATCCAATCTTTTGATTTTTTTTAAACCTATTTTAAAACAAAAGTTTACACTTTAGCTGAACCAGCAGCTGCTATTTTAAGATAATGTAGAATTTACCATAAATCAAACAGGATGCTTCACTTTGAGGTCCTCATTTCATTTTTATGATCCCGAAGAAGAAAAACTCTTCAATATATTGCTGTTTATCCTATTTTCCTCAGAATTAACTTCGCATGGCTCAAACTTAAAGTATCTTTCTTGTTTTTGTTTATAATAGCCTGTAATAAAATGTTTTTTTTAATTGTATCTTTTTGATTTTTCTTAAAGATGGGAAAGATACTACATATGGTTGTTCTAATACTTTTTATTACAGAATATATTTGTACCCAACAGCTGTTTCATATATTACATGGCAAGAAGCCAAAGTTTTAATTGGTTTATTTTACACTCACCAGAGAACTCACTTTACTTTAGTACCTCCTCAAAGATCATTAGTATAAGAAAAGTGCCTCATAACATATTTGATGCAACTCCTAATTTATTTTATACATTTTAGATAAAACTGGGCACTCAAAGGATGTAATGCATAGAAAAATGTTTGAAACAATTTTGTTGATAATGAACAAAGCGAGAAAAGCAATGGGAGATATAGTTCAAAATACATTGTCACTTAAAAGAAATGCTTTTCCAATCCTCCACTTTCATAATGGCACTTTTAACAAAAAAGTTCCATATTATTCTTTTCTTTACCATACAGTCCCCAACCTTTTGGGGGCCTGGGACTGGTTTCATGGAAGACAAATTTTCAATGGACTGGGGTGGGGTGGGCAGGAAGAGCATGCAACCTAGATCCCTCACATGCTCAGTTTACAGTAAGATGTCTGTGGAGATTCTCAGTCATCCAGGTCATGGTTGTCCCAAAGGTGCTTTTTCAAGAGGCAACTGGACTTTCTGGTTTTCCTTGGAAGACATTTAGCTTCTCATCCAAGAAGCTTCTTCAGCTTGGAGCTGAAGAAGCTTCTTGGATGAAAAGCAAAACATCTGCAAAGAAAACACAGAAAGCCCAATTGCCTCTTGAAAAAGCACCTTTTACAGTATGGTTTGCACCCCTATGAGAATCTAATACCTGATGTTCTGAAATGCAGCTGAGGTATTGATGCTAGCATTGGGGAGTGGCTGCAAATACATATGAAGCTTCGCTTGCTCACCAGCCTCCCACCTCCAGTCTGGTTCCGAAGAGAAAACAGGCAGGTACTGGTCCATGGCCCAGGGGTCAGGGACCCCTGCTTTACCATCCTAAATGAGATACTACTATACAGCATTATAACTCCTTCCTCAGATTGATAAATAGGAGGTGAGTTAATCCTGGAGAGAATATGTGTATAATTAATAGGTAGTCCTTAAGTCATGCCCATAATTGGACATCCATCGCTAAGCAATGCAGTTATTAAATTAGTCATATATGATTTCACAACCTTTTTTGCTGTAACTGTTAAGCGAATCTGGCTTTCCCATTGACTTTGTTTGTCTGAAACCCCCTGGAAATATCAAAGATGGTGATCATATAGCCCTGGGATGCTTCAACTGAAGTAAATACATGCTGTTTGTCACGTGCAAGGGTCTTCAAACTTGGCAAGTTTAAGACTTGTGGACTTCAACTCCCAGAATTCCTGAGCTAACATGACAAGAGGAAGAAATCTGGGAGTTGAAGTCCACAAGTCTTAAAGCTGTCAAGTTTGAAGACCCCTGGTCAAGTGCCTAAAATTTGATCATATAACTATAAGGACACTGCAAAGGTTGTAAGTGCCAGGACTGGCTGTAAGTCACTTTTTTCAGTGGCATCATAACTTTGAACAGAAGTTAAATGAAAGGTCATAAATCTAGGATTCCCTGTAATAGATAAATATAATTCCATCGAAGTGAAAATATATGTAGAATAAAATAATAAAAGATATCAACTGGCTGTAGTGAGGAAGAATAGATGGCCTATGATAGTAGGAATGTGCTTTCTCTACCAAATATGTCCCCGGAGTCAAGAAGCTTTAATTATACCATGCCTTGTCTGGGTTATGTTATGTGAACTATTTTTATATTTTGTCTTCCTCCTTTGATACAGATTAATACTGCATAGAAAAATCATTTCATCATAATGATTTAGAATGGAGTTTAATTAAGCTCTTAGGAAATACGATTTTTTGATTTAAAATAAACTTTTAATATAAATTCTCAAGCATGTAAATGTTTCACCCTTCGTTGTTATTAGCAGGTTTAGTCACTTCTGTTTATTGATCATATTATTGTCCGGAAGGTAATTCAGCTATCAATAGAATTACTGAGCAATTAAATCCACAACAAATTATAACATTCTTTTGCACAATTTCTCCCTCCTTCTTTAAGTTATTCTTTTTTCTTCCTCACTTACCTATGGTTATATAGTTTATAACACGCTCTATCATTAACATTCACATTTAATAAAAACTTGTAAATAATAATAGTAAATGTCAGAGCTTCATTTAAAGGAAACCTAAGGTTGTACTTATCTGGTACTAAATTACATTAACAGTTTACTTTCATTAGCAATGAACAAAACCTAACTTTTAACTATAAACAAATATAGATAAAATTAATTGCAGTTACTCATGGGCTTGAGAACTGAATTCTTTCTGAGAGGAGAAGAACTAACATTCATACTCAAAGCTCCTGTTTTGCTCATTACAAATAAAATGGAACCAGAATTTGATATCTGCTCATCTTTTCAAACTACATCATTTTGGGGAACAAGTTAAGCAGTTTGAAAACATGGTATTCATTTGTCCGTTTGTCTCTATTTATTCATTCCTACAAATTATAAGAAAAAAATACCCTCTACATTAAAAAGGCTATGGCATGCCAAGAGGTAATATGGGATGAGCCCTGTCAATTGTAAGATACTGTAGAGAAGATAAAATCTATCCCAGAAGCTACTAAGAATAACTTTATGATTACAATTTAGTCACAATTACTTTATTTTATATAACACTGTGCATTTGGCAGAATGTATGGCTAACTTGTTATGATCAATATATATTTGACTTCATGTAACTTTTTGTCCTGTTGCAAAAGTCTAGATGATTTGCTAAAATGTGGTGTGACATTTGCTGCCAATATGGTTGTGGTGGACAAGGAAAGCACAATGAGTGCTGAAGAAGAATACATGGCAGATGCTAAGACAATTGTAAATGTACAAACCCTCTTTAGGTAAGTGGCTGTTCAATTTTTTACTTCCTATGTTTCTATGGAAATGCACTGTTCCATTTACATTCCATGAAAATATATAATTTCAATAATATAAATAGATTTGATCATATCAGATTTATTAGTGACATTAGTGACTAACATGTCCATAAAATCTTTCACTTGAAAGGGTTCTATTGGCTAGCAAATGTTATGAGTGAAATCCTGTTTTGATGCTCTTTGATGCTCCATCTCCATGGACCATATAAATATTCACTAGGTAAACAATATTTTGGGGTATTTTGCCTAATAATCCTACAAGTGAATGGTTATCAAATAATACATTACTATATTGTATTTAACCTCTTGGTAATCCGTGTGGTTAAGTCACAGTGAAGCAGATGTCCATTGCTAATTAATTATATTGTGTAGGTTGCTTTGAATAAGTTTCTGGTTACTCAGTAATCCTTTTGTTGCTCATCAAAGAACATAACCGGATTAGTTTTGATCTATATGCCATGCCTAACTTCAGCCTGGTCTACCTGCTTTGCGTTGGCACAGTCTACCCAATGCGAAGAGGAAACATGCCATCAGTTTGGGGAGTGGGGTCAATCTGTCCACACCCACCAAGTCGGCCATGCCTACCTGGCCCTCTGAGCTAAACCACAGTCCTGATGCGTCCTTCAATGAAGTTGAGTTTGACGCCCCTGATGAAGATGAAGAACAGGTTTAGGAATTCTCAAGATGCAGAAATAAAACTATAGTTAATAACCAAACCATTTATCAACTCATATTTGGAATGATGAAATAAAAAAATCAAATAAGAACAGAAATAATTTATGAAAAATTAGAATATTATTCGGTTCGTTGATAAAATAGCAAAACATTCTGAGACAAGAGTGTTCTGTTTGATGGAAAAAAAGAGGGAAGTTGAAACAGTGTCATTTGGAATTCAGTACATTTAAAGAATGATGGAAAAATTGGAAAGTTTGAAGAAAGCATTTCCTGTGTAGAATTATGAAAGTGGAAGGCAGGAAGACAATAGTAAAGATTCTGGGAATAGCAAAGAAAGCCAGCAATTTGGATTTATGAGATGCAACATTCACTTATGCATACTTACACACAAATGTATGCTAAGGGATGGTACCTTTGGGTAGATGTTACTTTGTGTAGGAAGGGAAAATAAGAGAAGCATTCTGGATTTTAAAAAAGCAGTGGGGGAAGAAAATTTCCTTTCTCCCCTCAAAAGTTTGGGTCATGAAGATCATTTTTAGACGACTCCTCAAACATTGGAAGGAAAGGAAGATATATAGTAGGTCCTTATCAATAATTTGTTTATTGGACATTACTTGTTTGGGAGAAGTGAGCTGCATGATCATTTGTAGAGAAGGATAGTTTGAGCCTGAAACTCCCAAAGAAATGCCCAGGTCTTTCAGATTATAAATCTGCCATCTGTATAGGTACATTTTCCCCAAGAACGGTTTTGGAGGGCATAAGTTGTTTGTTGAGGCCAATCAAGCAATTTATGTCCCTCTTCCAGTATGGTTGGGTTTATGCAATGGTGTTAGCTTCCTTGATGGAGGGAGGGAGTGGCTTGGCTGGCCTTACAGGAGATCATGTTCCACTTTCTCCTCCAAGAAGCTGTTGCTGGACTCAAATGGACAACACTCATCCAGATTCTTTTCTTCCAAAGAAGGTGGTTGGGCTGTGGTTGCATGTGCCTTGGAGGAAATGCCTTACCTGGAGTATTTCAGTTGGGTTTCATACCAACCACACTGGAGCAGATTAGGAAATCAATTCCGCATGAGTCTGATTAACATTCACATCTTTGTGAGGTGGAGTTTGCCTATTTTTTATCTATAACAATTCAGTGGCATGTGCATCTGTTTTTCTTCCTGTGCTACCCTGAGTTAAGTTAGAGATTGTTGCTACCATCATTGATTATCTTTTCATCTCCTTCTTCTTTCTCTGTTTTAATTAATCAAATTCTTGCTGTTTCTTCAACATTTCTCTATTGGTATTGGCCGAATTATTTGAGCCTAGTCCCATTTCTAGCTAGTCTACATTCTTCTTTGGTTTAACACAGGCATAGGGTGGATACCTTTCTCAACAACAGTAGAAGTTGTGTCTTCTACGGAAGAATCTAACAACTTTTCTATGTCTGTCTGGGTGGTGCAGGCTCTAGTTAATTTTTGTAAGGGACCACATGAGAAGCCAGGACTGTTGTGAAGGGGCACTGCTGCTTCCAGCCCAACCACTACTGCCAACTCTGCACTGAAGCCCCATCCTCCACCAACACTGTCCCTCCTTTTCCACTGATGCCCTGTCCCTACCTCCAATGCCATCCTGCTGATGCCCCAGCCACAACACCAACATTCCCAACCCTGTGGGCCAGACTGGGACTACTCACAGTCCAGTTGTGGTGTGTGATGCATAAAATGCCCAGGTCTTCTCTAGTTCATTAACATATATGTCTTTTTTACATCTTTTTTCTATAAAAATGTCCTCTATACTTATTAAGAAGGACTTTCATCTGGGGGATGCTTTTTTCATTAGCATTTACTTCCACCTACTTTATTCACACAGCCTCTAAGCATCCAGCAAAATTTTCTTCAGATTCCTTAATCCTCCCACCCCCCCCAAAAAATAGAGAAAACATTCTACTTGAAATTTGTTCCCAAAAGTAGCCAGATATATGCAGCATGACTTAAGCCTAGGTTCTTCATCTCTAACTTGGAATATTAATAGTGATAAAAACACTCAACACTCATCATCATAACACTGAACGTTAGTGGTAAAATTCTTGCTTTCATATTATAGTGTCCACAATTACTTCACCTCTATTTTTTTCTATCCAAAGGAAAAAAAATCCTTCTAGCAGTTTATTTGCAGTTATTTGCAGTTCAAATAACTCTTTTTCTTCTTAATTTAACACTAATTTTCACATCACTAGAGAAATATCCAATAGATACTGTAAAAATGTAATTTAAAGCTTACTTTCACAATTCAGAAAAGGTACTTGAATAGCTAATAAAAATTACATATCCTTAATGTAAAAACATTTGCAAGTGTGATTACTTTGTTAATGAAATTGTAACAGTTTGGATTGTTCCTACTTTAACTATAGCATACAACCACGAGGTGGCAGCCTTTCTACATGTACTGGCAACTACACAAAATGTAGAAAAATGTAGGGATTTTCCTTGTACTAAGAAAAGAAACAAGTAAAAACTAAAGATTTCAGTTCAAGTTTGGCATAGTAAATATAGTTCACACCCTATTAGAAAAACAAATGTTAGCAATTTTGAAGTGTAAGGATCTCGCCAACATCAAAAATTTAGAAAGATGGAACTTTAATATGCAAAAATTTACAGAATCAAATATTAAAATACTCTGTTTAAACAGTCTCTTTTTCATAACTTAGAAATCACATATTGGCAAACTGCCTGTGTTTCCACAAAAATAAGACCAGGTCTTATTTTCTTTGGGGCCCCAAAATAAGCACTAGGGCTTATTTTCAGGGAGTGGGGTTTTTTTCATGTATGGGAGGCCCACTTCTTTTGCTTGCTTGAGATGGGGCAGGAGACCACGTGGTGTACCAGTGCCTCTACTATGAGGCAGGGGGCAAAAGAGCTGCCCCATGAGCTCTGCACTGGCTTGCCTCAAGGTCCCTGCAGTCAGGCCACCCATGCCTCAACAACCGCCTTGCCTTCCAGTGGCAACTCCAGCAGCTCCATCCAGCAGGACCCCACGTGGCTGCCAGCCCACTTCTTCTGCTTGCTCACTGGTGCCACGAGATGTGGTGGTGGAGCTGCCCCAAGCGCCCTGCAGCAGCTTACCTCAGGGCCCCTACAGCCAGACCATGCACACCCTGACACCTTTCTTGCCTCATGGCCATGGCACCACAACATCATTTGGCCTCCTGCTCCATTGTAGTTGCGAGCATGCAGAAAAAGTGAGCTGGCAGCCACATGGGCTCCTGATGCACCTGCTGCTGTTGTCAGGCAGGTGTCTGGGCACGGATGGCCTGGCTGCAGGGACTCTGAGGTAAGGTGGTGTGGGCTGCATGGGGCAGCTCCACCATTACCCCACCTCATAGCTGTGGCACTGCTAGCAACCAGACGTAATGGGGAGGCGGGCAGCTGTGCAGGTCCCTTAAGTAAGGCTTAGTTTGGGGGTAGGGCTTATATTAGGCACACATGTAAAACATCCTCAGGCTTATTTTCTGGATAGGTTTTATTTTCAGAGAAACAGGGTAAATGTCAAAATAATTTGATATGCAAAATTGATTTTTAGAAAAGTATTATTTTAAGGAGTGTTGCTAATTTCCTGTATTTTGAGCTGTTTATTCTGGCTTGTTTAATTAAAATGAACTATACAATTAAAAATAAGGTGTAGGATAATCTCATAATAATGTCATTGTGGAGAGTGACTTCATCAGATCCCAAGAACAGCATGAGATATCTCTGTCCAGAAGAGTGAAGTGCTAGTAGTAGCGAGGACACTGCACAGAACCCTCAAACTCCTAGGCCTCTGGAAGAGGAACCGAGATTGAAGAATACACATTTAAAAAGGAAATCAATTCTAAAGATGACAAATTTAAACAACCTCATGAAAAATAAGAGCATTTCATTTGATAACAAAGATCTAAGCAATTAAATAAATTACCTTTCCAATTGTGAGGCAGAGCTGTGAAAAAATGAGAGAAATAAGGTATTATAGATTTTGAGATAGTTTGTAAAAGAACCATGGACTGACGAACAGTCAATAAGTCTGAGATCACATTAAGGCTGATTTCTTCCTTGAAACAATTATGAGCATGCAGAAACTCATTTACTTTGGGCATATTGTACAAGCAGATAATTTTATATTTTATTCATTTATTTACATTTATTGGGCACTAGATCCAGTTCTCTTTCTCCCTCCCTCCCCTTCCCTCCCTCTCTCCCTCCCTCCCCTTCCCTCCCTCTCTCCCTCCCTCTCTTCTGAATGAGTGAGTAAGTGAAAATGAGTAAGAAGGATGAATGGGATCAAAGAGATTATAGAAATTGTTTTTGTAAGAATTGGAAACTATGACTAAAAATAGTTCAAGATTTGATTGTATGCTGCCCAAAGATTGGATTTTGTGTTGCAGTTTGGTTGATCATAAAAATATGATAACATAAATTAAGATAATCAGCAAGAATCAACATTAACTAAGGGGGCACCTAACTAATTAGTTAAAGGTAGATTCAGTTACCCATGTGAACAAAATCATAAACAGCACCAAGGAATAACCATTAGGTAAAATTACCTTTCGCATGTTACGTTGTATTTGGAAATATCTTGGGTCCAGCAAATTTAATCCCAAGTAAGTATGTAAATAATTCCAATCTATTTCCATTTAGCTTTTCAAACTTCTTATTAGCCATGTGCTCCTACAAATATATATGTAACAAGGCAGATGACCTGATACTTTTCTTGCTCTTTTATATATGATACTTGCAAAATCTGTTCATTTTTTACTTTTAAAATCCACAAGAGTGCAGTCTTGGCTAATAAACTATAGTTTATTTATTACAATTGTACTGATTTAGTGTGATAGAGACTACTTAGCTTTATTTTACAGCTTTGATTCTTTGCAGAAACATAATTCAGGTGACATTATAATCACTATTACAGTTAATGTTAGATATGGGCTAGATTGAAGAGGCAAGACAATGGTAGAAGGAAAGGATTTCTTTATTTAGCTCTGAACATAAGACTGCCGCCCGGTGTGCCTGCTGTTCTTTTTACAGGCTGCTGTCCACAATTTCAGCCACTGACAGCAGTTCATTTTCCCGCCTGGAAAATGAACCAATGGGGGAAGTCTGACATCACTAACGTTTCCCCATTGAATATCTAACAGTTAATAATTACACAAATAAGATTTGTGTGTTAAGAATGCTGAATTGAATGCCTGGATTATTCTTTTCATTTTTTTTTACTATGTTGGGCTTTCAGTGTCCATATTAAGAAAATATCTCAGTTATCATAATCAAGCCAATAGTCCCAAAACACAGAAGCTTGTCCTCAGCTTCAAAAATAGTGGCAATGGCCTGGGAACCTAAATAGCAAATTCTTGTAACTCCAGTTGTCTTATGATCATCTCGGTTAGCATTTCACTTTCAAGAAAAGGCTTTATTTTAGACATTCCAAATCCATGCTCCTTCAAGAAAAAAGGAAATGTTTCATTTTAGAAATGTTGTTGAATTCTCTTTCAGTATCCTCATTTTGCTATAAACTTGTTTTGTAAAGAAGATGTTACTATTTAAGGAGCGACTTATAATTTTCATGGGTAATTATATTATACAAAGGGAATATGTATTCCATTTGGGGAACAGACCAAATAGAAAATAGAATACAAGGAACTGAATATGCATTTCTTTAATCAAATTAATTGCTCCTTTTTCTCACAACATCTTCTTCCCCGTTACAAAACCTTACTTTCATCTCCTGTACATAAGGATTAAGAATATTTCCCAAAGACCTTATCACCTGAACTTTGATACAAATACTTTTTAAATGTCTTTAGATAATGAACAAAACTTCTCAATGAATGTTAATGCAAAGTTCTGACCGATTCTTGCCTAGAAGGCTAATGTTTTCAAAATGCATAATTCTCAAAAGTTAAATTCTCAACACAGTTATAAAGTTATATATTGGTAAAAGTATTTTATAGCCCTTCAGACAACTTAATGTATATATTATTAGTTCCTCTGTATTTTCATTGTTTGCAGTTACTGGAAACAAATTATTCATCACTGTTACAGTAATTACTAATGAAGTATTTATCTGTTAAAGTGTTAATACATGTTATATGTTTTAACATAATGGAATGGGCACTCTGAAACTCTGCAGGACATTTATCCCATTATAGGAATTAATTAGCTTCCACCAACAGGTGGCATTTTTCGGGAGGGCTTAGAAGAAAAATGACAGAATTTGAAATAGTCATACAGAATCACGGGCATGTGACACAGAGATTGAACAAATCAAAAATTGGATGATAAATTGATTGCAAATGCAATAAAGGGAAAAACTGGAACAAATCTTTATAATTTACACTGACTAATATTTAAGAGAAAACTGGTATAAAATGTTGTAAAGATAGTGTATAACTCTACCCATAATTCTCAGAATAGAAGACCTAGTAATAAGGGCTGGAATGTCATGAGGAAGTATGAATCCTTTTGAATATTGTGCCTTAGACATTAGATAGATAGATAGATAGATAGATAGATAGATAGATAGATAGATAGATAGATAGATAGAT